CCTAGTGTAATCCTAGACTAGAATTAAATCCAACTAAGCTAAGACTCTCTGTCTAGGAAACACAACTTGGGGAGAGGGCATAATGGGCTGGCCTAGGGGCATAGAACAATTCACGGTCCAGAGGCAACTCCAGACATTTTTGGCACTTGAGGTATGAAAATGACACAAAAATCAAACTTATGTGGGCTATAGCTCACTTCCTCTTGTTAATACTACATAAAGATGGAGGATGGAGGCAGGAAAATACGCCTCCCCTTGAAATTTCCTTCATATTGCTTTATGGGCAAGATCAGCCAAGGTCAGCCATGTCATGCTCTTAGGCTTCATATATTACAAAATTAATAGCTATGCCACCTGTACCTGTAGCATATTATGTACCATGACAGAAGAAAATCCCTCTCTTCCTCTTAAAAAAACAACTGTGCACAGGGACCTGTCATAGCTTCCTAAATCAGAATCACTCTGAGTAAATTCCATCCAAAAAGACAAGATCCCTCTCTGTGAGGCACATGGAGAATACACTGCTTATTTTGTGGGGAATTAAGAAGTCCTCAGGGAGAGTTCCTAACCTGTAAAGCCTGGAAAGTTAATAGCAGTCAGCTCTCTCATTTGCAGGGATGATTCAAGCAGAAAGATCCCCAATTATTTAAATGCTGTGTAATAGAAGACAATTATTAATTGATTACACAGGAAATGCCTGGATAAGGATGACTTCAGTAGTTTCAAAACAGAGCACTGGCCCAGGAGGAGACACAAAGGAAGGCAATATTCATGGGATCACTTCCTGATTGTTATTTATTTCCTATTTCTATTTGCTTGTTTTTCCAATCTTCCCACATTGCCACAAGCTTGCTCTAGCAGCAGGTTGTATGAATCCGTCATTTCCCAGCTGCTACCCAAAGGAGCTGTTGGCACACCCATGAAGAGACTGTCTACACACAATGCACCATGGGTGTGGCCCCTACAGCCAGAGTAGATTTCTGTAATCAAGGCAATCCTGGAGTAGGCAACTTGGTCAGCCTGGAACACCATATCAGGAATGTACTGAGGTCATGCTGCCTAATCTGAATATAAAATGCAGAACACAAAGGACACAGGACCTGGAATTGTACTATTCTAAGTGAATGCAACAAAAAGCTTGAACTGGCAATTGATATTGCTAAATATATGCCTTCAAAATATGTAATTATTTAAACAAATTAAGTTTGGCTTCAACGACAAAAAATTAAGTTAGGCTTCAACAGACTGGCCCAGCATTTCGGCTGAGCACAGATGTGAATCCAGTTCACTAATCATCATCTAATACTCTAACCACTACACTACACTAGCTAATAACAATGTGTAGATTCTAACAACAGTCATCCAGAAGTTCCTTAAGGATCCATGTGTGGCCTGCTTCTTGTGCCTCCTGGTCAAAACTCTTTGTGGATTTTAATAGATTGCGCCAATAACTCTGAGACCATAAAGCTGCTTTCATCCATGACGCACTCTCAGTTTACCACCACTTCCTCACACCTACCAATTCTGCAACACACCTGCCATTTTAACAGCACTGTGGTACACATATATCCCCCCCCCCAAGCAATGTCAAATACTAACAAGCTTACCATATGCTTAAGCTGTGAACATTTCAGCATTGATAGCACGGCTTTGGGAAGAGAGCCAGCAAGAGACAAAAGGGCAGTGATAAAGGAGCTATGTTAGTGTATGTTTGTGCAAAGTGTCGCCAAGTCCCAACTGACTCATGGCAACCCCAGCAAAGGGGCTCTAAAGGCAAGTGAGTTGCAGAGGTGGTTTGTTATTGCCTTCCTCTGCAGAGTCTTCCTTGGAGGACCCCCTTCCACATACCAACCCCAAAACAACACCATAATTTATTATAACATTTTTGTTATAACGTATTGCTATTTTGTATTCCTCCGGGGCAAGACATTAAATATTTAAGCAACTCATATAAATTGAGATTTTGTAGGGAAACACAATTGCAAATTTCAAGAATGCACTGCTGTTATCAACAATCCTATTTTTTTCTACTAATGAGGCAGGAATTGGATTCTGAATATAGATACAACAATGTATCCAAAGTTGCGATCATATTTAAATCCAAAGCGAAGTATGTGCTTCTATTGAAATAATAGGTGTTGTTAAAAGTGCTTGACTTTGGCAGGATCAGACCCATGGTGCTTTTTAAAAGGTCTTTCTTTCTATCTTTTTAAAATAAGCCCTTTGTGGCAGTGGGGTGACAGGAGCTGAGGGGGAAGGGAGCACAGAAAATCCGTCTTGAACCCTCTTGATGGAAAAAGGCTAATTAAGCCTTTGAAGAACAACTCTAAGCAACACAGATGTGGATTAAGCACAGCATTCATCCTGAAGAAAAGTAGTCTTACAAACTGAACTCCACATGAAACTGAACAACAGAAAGGGGGGGCGGAGTTTTCTCCATTTCTAACCCCTGAAATCAAAATTGCAACAGTGGATAATGAGAATGAGAACATCAATCAGTGGACAGAAATAGATATTTGCCCTGGAGAGGAAAACTGGAAGATCATGGAAACTGTCTTCAGTATGATTTCATTCATTTTGATTCTTTTTGTCTGTCCCATTCCAAAGGCTGGGAAGCAGGTTAACGAAGTAAAAAAAAAAAAAAAGACAATTAAGTTGTAGAACTAACATTCAACCCGACCCCATGACTTTCTCCAAATTACTACATCTCTAGGCACATTTATACATTAAACAGAATTAAGGGGCATATCATTCTCCTGGACTGTATCATGTTAAGATGTAAGAGTTGCATGTTTGATAAAAGGCTGAAAAAAATATCCTGTAAATAGCAAAACAGCATGTCCAGGAAAAGGCTCAGACATTTCTTCCTTGATATGCTAGGGTTTTTTTAGATTCAGAAACCATGCAAGATGCCCTGTGCTTACTGAAGGAAGGACAGAATTAAAATGTATTGATAGACAGTTAGTGGCACATGCAAACAGCGGATTTCCCACCTGTAGCCTGAAGCAGTACAGTTCATGAAAAAAATTATTTTACTTAGCTAAATACATTGACTGACCCTCACAGCACTTCCAAATGATACTCAAATGCAGCCTCAGGCGGGATCAGGTTAAGATAAGACGGCTAGCTTCATAAATATGTTTTTTAGTTCCCTTATTTCCTTGGAAGAAGAGGAGATTGGATTTACACCATGCCCTTCACTACCCAAAGGTGTCTCAGAGCGGCTTACAAACGCCTTTCCCTTCCCCTCCCCACAACAGACACCATGTGAGGTAGGTGGGGCTGAGAGAGCTCTTGACAGAAACTGCTCTTTTTCAAGAACAGCTCTTATCAGAACTATGGCTTGCCCAAGGTCATCCAGCCAGGTGCAAGTGGAGGAGTGGGGAATCAAACCCGGTTCTCCCAGATTAGAGTCCGCGCACTTAACCACTACACCAAACTGGCTCTCTCTTACTTCAAAGTGGTCTCCAGCTATCAAATTAGAAAAGAAATTCTCATCTGGCTTGTTGGGGTGGCTGTGACAAAGGCAGCCATCCTGAATTTTTGTGGGGTCAGCGTTTCCAGTGGGAAAACTGGATGCGTACACATTTACATCACACGTTTCAGGGAATTCTGGGAAACCTGCGCAAATAGTTTTGCATCTTTTAAGTCAGGAAAGAATGCCTTGAATTTCAGCAATTAGTCCCATGACCTTGCTGGCACTACAAAGAAGCAGAGACTACTGCAGCCCATGCCTTTGATGTGCTCTGCAGCCTCTAATCACGCCTTCATGTCGCCCAAAATTAGCAGCCAGGCTAGTGATGCACCCGCTCCCATCAAGGTGAGTCACCTGACGTTTGTTTGCACCTTCTCCATCAGAGCAGGAGAAAGCCTGTTTTGCATCAAGGCCTTTCTCTGGGAAAGATTTTTTAAAATGACACGGCAAGGAAGGAAAAAGCCTTTCTTCATAGTTAGGACTTTTTAAGCCTAACACCTCTTCTTTCCTCCTAGCAAAAAGGGGGGGGGGAGAGAGCAACAGACCCTTCATGCAGTGGCAGTCATTTGGCAAGGAACTAGAGACACCATAAGGTTGCTGGGAAACACATAAACACTTACAGGGTGTTAATGGTGAGGTTTCAATCAACTGTGTATCTTATTATTGTTCCATAAGGGGCTATTCTTGGTGTGTATTTTTTAAATGAACTATTACCCACAAGCAGCCTAAGCAATCAGATAAAGAGTGAAACAAATAAAATCTCCCCAGCTTTCAAAGACAGGAAGCTCCGATGGTTTCTCTTGGTAAAAAAAAAAAAGAAGTTAAAGTGACCTCGATTTGTTCTAGTACCTCCATGCACTGCCTAGGAAGCAGCCAGCGCCCGTCACCGCCCATCCCCCTTCGCGCTCATTCATAGCGCCACAATACTTCGCACTAGAACCACTGCTTTAGTTTCTCCTTCCTTCCAAGCCTGTAAAATGAGACTATATAGTGCTTTTTTGGTGTGAAATGCAGTTGCTCAGCATTTCCGAGCGGCACCCGCACAAATTATTATTTTGCCATTGCCATGGTAACGTTTCTTGCTTTTGACAGAACCAGATTCCCCAACAGCTTTCAGTGTACTGACCTATCTAATATTATGGCCCCCTTTATCCTTCTTCCTAAACTCCCTCAGGCTCTAGAAAACTAACACACACCCATTCCAAAATGCCTCTTAACTGGGGAGAGGGCTGGGTTTTCATCCTACCGCCAGTTCATAACAGGAGCCATGTATCAGTTAACTTTAACCCAACAAACAAAAATGAACTGGGTCGCTTGGATGCAACCCTAAAACCAGACGCATACAAAGAGCCAAAGACCTGTTGGCCTCGCCTAGCCGCCTTATTACTCCGGACTGCAGCCAGCCCTGCGTCAGTTCCCGCAAGTGTGTTGCGGATGGTTTGAGCCTACAGTTTTCCGGGGCTGCGACATCCTTCCCAACCCCCGTTCTCCCCCTCCAGATCCACACTCGCTCTTGCCCCGATACCTGCGGACTATCCTGTAAAGCCTCGTCCAGGCGAAGTTTGTCGACGGCCGGCATTGCGAGAAGAGCCCCGAAGCTGTCGTCTTGAATAATTTAGCTTGGATTAATTCTGCTGCAAGAGCTGCAGTGGGGGTGGCGGCCAAGCTTTTCTCTGTGACACGTATTGTTTTGATGCAGCGCCGCTTATAGCCACGAGCAGCAGCCAGGGGAAAACGAGCGCCTCCCTTGGCCCCGCCCCCGGGGGGGGGGGGGCGGGGGGAAGCAGGCAGTGAGTTCACCAGCCAAGGGGTAAACAGGTTGCAGCCGCCTGTTGCCAGCCCCGTCCACAAGCTGCGCGGAGGACCACTCCTGCGACGTTCCTGTCTCGGGGAGGAAGTGGAGGAAGTAGTGGAGAGCGGGAGCATTTTGCGCAGGAAGTGTGGCGTTGCGGACCTTCCTCCCTAGATTAACTCTTCGTTGCAGATCTCCGAGCAAAACCCGACGGGGAAGGGGAAGGGAAGGGAGAGAGGAATAGGCGGGATGGAGAAAGGAGGTCTGAGCCTCCTAGCAGACGATTAAAGGGCGTTGAGATTGCATCGTATTAGTTATGCATGATAATAGACTGGGGTTTTTTTAAGGTTGCGCGTTTAATGTTATTTTACTAGTGTCTTAGGAAAGTTTTATACTGCTTTTCCATAGTTCTCCAGGCAGCTCACAAATAAAAGCACTGTAATACATAAACCGCTAATAAGAAAAGACCTTTATTTAAAAGGCTGGATATAAAGCAAAGTTTTGGCCTGGTGTGTGAAAGAGAGTAGGGGAGGTTTCAGGCCAGCTTTCAGGGGAAGGGAATATACCACAGAGGAGCTGGTACCAATGAAAACACCCAGTCGTCAGTTGCCAGTTGCCAATCTCCAGGTGAGGCCTGAAGAGCTGGAATTAACGTTGATCTCTGAAGTACAGAGCTCAGTTATCCTGGAGAAATAGCTGCTTTGAAGGGTGAACTCTATGAATTATGCACCGCGGAGATCCCTCCCCAAACTCTATCCTCCCCAGGCTCCCCCCCCCCCAATCTCCAGGGATTTCCCAATCTGGAGATGGCAACCCTGAATGATCTGCTTCATCTATATGTTTTTAAATAAAAAATGGAAGGGTACCTGAGATTGACAGTGGATGGAACTGTGTGTGCAGACACCCTGGCACCACGTCTTGAAAATGTGTGTGTGTGTGGGGGGAAGGAATGAGTACACTTCACAGGAGCCCTGGGGCAATGCTCCCTCTAAACTGTGGAGTCTTGTGAGCAAAAATTCAACTTTGTGAGCGAGCAATTTGGCTACTGCATAAATTAGTTTGCTCTGGAACCTTAATTCCTCAGCTAAGACAAAAATGTGTGAGTCAGAGGCTAAAAAACTGTGAGCTAGCTCACACTAAGTCAGCTTAGAGGGAACACTGCCCAGGGGTCTTGACCTAGACTTCAGGTTGACAAGAGGCCCAAAGAAGCATGCCCTGTCCACTCAATAAAGACTTTGGGGCAGTATCATGGAGGTAAATAACACGTGATAAATAATTCCCAGTAAGCTTCTGTTAAAAGGGCAGGACCTTTTCCTCTCCACACATTTGGAACCCTTAGTACAAAAGTTTTAAGAGGAATCACAATAATAAAAATGTTATCCCATTTAAAAGCCAAGCAAATGAAGTATTTAAAAACAAGTATCAAAAACAACAGAAATAAGATCAGCAAATCATAAAGTTAAGGTAAAAGTACTGAAAAGTAAGATAGTCTTGGAATTTAAGAGGTAACCGTGGGCAGAGATCTCTGGGAAGAGCATTCCATAGAACTGTCCCAACATAGAAAAGGTCCTGTGATCCATGGGGCACCTGTTGATGATGATCTAAGTGGATAGTCACAATAAGGTCTTTTTAGCCTCAAAAGTTTGTGCCACAGTAAATCTGTTATTCTTCAAAGAAGAAGAAGAGAAGAGATTGGATTTATACCCCGCCCTTCACTTGGAGTCTCAGAGCGGCTTACAAACTCCTTTCCCTTCCCCTCCCCACAACAGACACCCTGTGAGGTGGGTGGGGCTGAGAGAACTCTGACACAAACTGCTCTTTTTCAAGGACAGCTGTGCCAGAGCTTGTGACTGACCCAAGGTCACATCAGCAGGTGCAAGTGGAGGAGTGGGGAATCAAACCCGGTTCTCCCAGATTAGAGTCCGCGCACTTAACCACTACACCAAACTGGCTCTGTGATGTTGGACTCTCTGTTGCATTTCCTGCAACTTCACTGCTGTATTATTAATCAGCCATAAGATTAGCATTGCTGTTGGATTTTAAAAATTCCAAATCTAGAAGTTGGAAGTAATTTAAAAAACAAAACACTAGAGCACCATAATTTGCAGAGGCTGTGTTTATTTTCCTACAGGTGTTTGAAATGCAGGAAATCAACAGGGGAAGATCTGTCTGAGCAAGGATATTCAGCTATGAGAAAAGACTGAGCGGGGGGGGGGGGATTTCCCCCCCACAAATGTATCCAGCCATAGCTGTTTTTATAAGTTAATATAAAGCATTTTTTGGATACTGTTTCTCTAAAAAGCTCAAATGGTGGCCTTGGAACAAATTCCTGGAAGAAAGTTCTGTCAACTGCTATTAGTCATAATAGATAAATGGAAGTTCTGTTGCTGAATATTAGTTGTTGGCGGGGGCAAACAATGGGGGTGCTTTATGCTGTGCTTGGCTTCTGGCTTGACTATTTTCTGTATTCCAGGGACACGAAAAGAAGTACTGAAAGAGCATATCTAAGCATGTGCAGAAAAGCTTTTGCATAACACAGCCACCCCATTGCTTTGGGATTATGAAACAGGCCTCCCTTTTCAGAAATGAAGTGTTGGCTCTTTGACCAACCCGTTGACCAAGTAAATACTATTTTATTCAGTGAGGTTTGCTCCCAGGAAAAGGTTCTCAGGATTGCAGCTGTAGACATCTGGCTAGAGTTTTCAGCTCCATCCTCCAAAAGCAAAGATTTAAAGCTTTTAAGAGTAACCTGATGGACAGAAATTCAACATGTACCTTTCTCTGCTATGGTGCTAGTTGAACTTCTTGCTGAAACTCTGCTTTCCTAGGCTATGCTGTAGGATAGCTGCTAGAAAACCAGTCAAAGATTAAAAAAAAAGAACAATCCTATTAATAGCCAGGGAATTAAAGGTGAATTTTCTTCCACAGCTTTAATGGATTTATTATGGTTAGTGAGAATTCTAGCCTTCATTAATGACTGTGAGTAAAAAGTGGTTGTAGATTCACATTAATCAACATGGGGAAACAAGGTTTTTTTCAAAAATGATTTCAATATAGCATTTTTACATGCCGTCCAACTGTGTATGATGTGTTCTTACTATTAGTACCATTTGCTGATGTGTGCTGAATTTGCAGTTAATCACAGGGTGTGTCCTTTAAACATAAACTGAAGTGGCTGCTACAATAGCAGCTTTCTTATTCTGATTCCAAGCCAAAAAACTTTGCTGTTATGCACTGTGAAATAATGAACATTTAGGGTTGGATCCAGTGTTTCTGTGAGTTGGTGGAGGTGATTTTCTCTCCAAAACCTCTCAGCTGAGGGCTGGGGGGACTTTTAAGAAGTGAAAAGAGAGTTTCAGCTAGAAGAGAGAATCAGCAGAAATAAATGTCCCTACTGAATGCTTCACAGCATAGTGCCTCTGACCCTCAGCAGCATTTCAGGAGGGTGCAGCAGTTCACTTTCTTCACAGAAGCAAGAGGTTGAATGGACTGTATGTGAAAAGTTCACAGAAGGAGCTGGTGGGCAAATCTTCCTCGCTTTGCCCTTCCCTCTGCATGCCAAGAAATCCTTTGTTGAGAGTTAGGGGACCCTTCTAAACAAATTACTCAGCAGTACAGGAGGCTGCAATGACAAGGAGGAAATGGGTGAAATTGCCTCTCTACGTACAGTAGTGGAACATAGTCTCTTCCGCTAGTACGGGGGTAGCCAAACTTGCCACACAGAATAAATGTCAGATGTTTGAGAGCTGCAAGACATGAACAAATATTACACACACATTTTTGTTGAAAAATACGCAAATTTGCTTTTTATTAACATTAAATTAGACTGTGTGAAAGAGCCGCATGTGGCTCCTGAACTGCAGTTTGGCTAGTAGCAGAGGAGAAGGAGGTACATTTGGACATTCCCTTTTCTCACTGCAGATCCTCCCTCCCATTTGGTCATGAAGGTCTCAAGAAGAAGAAGAGGAGGTGATTGGATTTATACCCTGCCCTTCACTTGGAGTCTCAGAGCGGCTTACAATCTCCTTCACTTCCTTTCCCCACAACAGACACAAGAAAACTCAGCCTGAGACCCTGGAGAGCTGCTGCCAGTCCGAGTAGACAATACTGACCTTGATGGACCAATCGTCTGATTAAGTATAACGCAGCTTCTTGTGTTCATTCTAGCCAGTACCACCTTAATAGTACAATCCTAAGCAGAGTTACACCATTGTAAGTCCATGGCCTTAGAATTGCACTGTAAAGTCCTAGGGCTAGCAAAAGGAGCAGGATCATACCAAATCAATAAGACTGCACTGGGAAAGAACAAGTCAGGAGAGAAGACATTATAGAGGTTTACAAGATTATGCATGGGATAGAGCAGGTAGAAAAGTACTTTTCTCCCTTTATCACAATACAAGAACCCGTGGGCACTCAATGAAATTGCTGAGCAGTTGGTTTAGAATGGATAAAAGGAAGTACGTCTTCACCCAAATAGTGATTAACACATGGAATTCACTGCCACAGGAGGTGGCGGTGGCCACAAGCATGGACGGCTTCAAGAGGGAATTTGATAAGCATATGGAGCAGAGGTCCATCAGTGGCTATTAGCCACAAGGTATAGATAGGCACTCTCGGTCTGGGGCAAGTGATGCTCTGTATTATTGGTGCTTGGAGGGGCAACAGTGGGAGGGCTTCTAGTCCACTGCTGGACCTCCTGATGGCATCTGGTATTTTTGGCCACTGTGTGATAGTGTTGGACTGGATGGGCCATTGGCCTGATCCAACACTGGCTTCTCTTATGTTCTTATATTCTTATCTCCCGGTATCAGGCCATCAAACCATTAATCAGTACCTCTCAGCTGATGAATCCAAGTATGTTTAGTTGCAAAGCATCCTGCTGCATTAACATTCTTGTCAGTAAAGACTTCTGCTCACGTTAGCATTCTTCATGAATAGGTCCGAGT